AAGGGCTGATCGAAACAGGCTTAGGTAGAGGAAATCAGAAGCAGAAGAGGATTCCCAAAATACTGATAGGAAGAATCCTAAATAACAGTAGGTTCGAATCTTATTCAAGAAGATCAGATTGCGACCTTCTCTGATACCATATCAGAGTCAGATTGAGAGACAAGAAAAAAAAAGAGCGCAGCAAATGTTGGGTGTGCCAAAAGAAACAGACACCCAGGAAATAGAATTTATTTTATATAGTGAAAAGACATTCTGCCCCCAAAGTACAAATAGTGTACAAAAGAATAAGAAAGAAAAATCTAATGTACAAAGTATAAAGAAACAAAAATAACCCCATATCCTTCTTTGTCTCTAGAGTTAGAGAACAGAAACAATCAGATGCATGCCAAAGAGGACTAGAACCAACTCATTGCTGCTAGTCACCACCCACCACCACCAGAATTCCCATCAATTTTGAAACTCAGTTCGCCTGGTGGTGTTGCATAACTTGTATTGCATTTGGTCAACTTACAGGTATTTGTTTATTCTTTATCATTTTCAGTATATTGTATCGTTATTTGATTATTTATTTTTTTCTGAAAGAAGATGAAGAACTTATTGGATAAAAAAATTCTTCATTCCCTGTGGTGGTGGGTCCAAGTGGACCAAATAATGGTACAATATGTTAGTCTTGCTTTATTAATTTGAGATAGAAAAGGCAAAAGAGGTCGTTATCAATGCTGAACAACAGAGGACCAGCATTGGTGGAAAGAGACTAACTCTGTACTTGTAAGTCTGTAATTACAGAAATAAATTATAGCAGAACTATACCTAAGACTGTAAAGTTGTTGATTATTAATAAAGGGAGGGGTCTCATTCTTATCAAATTTCAACACTTAATAATAGGCACAACCGAACGGAAATGCAGTTTGGTTTGGTTTGGTTTGGTTTATTATATTGGTTAAACCAAAACGTCAGTTAGGTTCTCGGTTCTAACTGGACCGAACAGAACCGGCCAAATGTACACCCCTAAGGAGGGGTGATAAAGATTCACCCGAAAAGAAAAAGAAATAATATTACATCACCCCCCTCCCAATTCCAAATCAAAAACTGATACCCCAGAACTGAATGACTCTTTACATACATCTGCACATTCTTGAAGAATCAAAACCCATTCCAAGGTTTTTTTCCCAAGAATTGAAACAAGACAGTGAGGCCTTGAACTGATCTTCAAAAACTCTTCCATTTCTTTCCTTCCACAGCTCTGAACAAACTGCAAAATGGCACACAACTCCAAACTGTTTTAGCTTTCCTGCTTCCAATTAAGGCTGGCCAAAGTGCAAAAATTTCTTTCGGCAATCTTGGAGCCCATATCTCTATTCTAAACACAAAGAAGAAATACACTCAAATGGTCTTCACAGAAAGTTGAAATGCATTTTCATCCTCTGCAAAGCAAAGATATCATCTTCCCACGCACCAACTGAATGCCCCTATTTTTGATGTGATCCTGAGTGAATATGCTGTCCAAAGAAACCAACCAAGCAAAAGCCTCCACCCTAGGTTGAATAGGGTTGCTCCAGTCTCCAGACATCTTTGATATCTTCCCTTTCAACCTGATTCCTTGCTAATGCTTTGTAGAATGACTTTACAGAAAATATCCATTTGTTACTTTCTCTCCAGCATGTCAAATTAGCCTTCCCAAGTTCAATTCTGGTACCTCTAATTTAGCTAGCAAGCTAACACATTTGACATTCCTTCACTTCCCAATCAAGAAGTGGTCTTCTAAATTTTGAACACCACACGACTGATCCCTGGGCAACTTCATAGCATTGTGAGATTTAAATATTTTTACTGCTCAGTCTTTATAATCTTAGGCATAGGTCACATAGCTTTCCAATCCACAATCAACCATCCTTCCAAAACTTAATGCCTGTTCCATCTCTAATATTAAAGGAAACATAGTTCAAGAAAGCCAAGTGGAAATCCATAATTCCTTTCCACACGCATACACCATATGAAGACTTCACCTCCCTTCTGTCCCACCCAAAATTCACCACCCTATACTTGCATGCAGTGTTTTAAAAGGTATGGGAGGCGTTTGGATGTATTCCAGTGGCACTGATGCCTCTGAGGCATACACCTTATGTCGATGAGGCACACACGTCATACGCCTTTTGCATGAGACATGCTAGAGGTGTACACCTCATGCACACCTCATACAGAAAAAGGCAGAATGTAAAGGAAAGGGAAGAGAGAAAGAAAGAAAGAAAGATAAGGAAAAAAAAAAGAGAAGAAAGAAAAGGAAAGGAAAGGGAAGGGAAGGAAAGAGAAAATAGAACAAAAAAAAGAAACCAAAAGGATGAGATCTTCCTTCCTCTTCTTCCTCTTCTTCCTCCTCATCCCTCCTCTTAAGGAGGTTTATGCCCGGGAGGCTTACGCCTCTTACATTTTGAAGAATCTGAACTACGCCCATGCCTCTAGGCAGTGAAACACCTCGTCTCACGCTTCCACATTTTAAAACATTGCCTGCATACAACCACACTCCTCTAAAGAGAATCCCTTTCATGCCCAAACCTCCACAACCACTTCCTCAATAATGCTTTATCAAAAAGTCTTTAACTTTCTACTTAGTTATTATTCAAGATTTATTTGAACCTTAATGAGTTTATTTCTAACATGTAGGTCAAAGAGCTGTTGTATGCCACCCACTCAACTTCTAAGTTGAACTTGATCATATTATCTTGTACTCCTGATGTGCAAGTGGTAAACTCTATTCTGTTAGGGAAAATTAGGTTCAAATCAATTAATATATTCTTGTAGCATAGTTGACTAAAAACAGAAACAATCTAACCATTTAATGACTAATGACTTGATTCAACCAATGCCCAAAGTAACTATAAGCTCAATACACAAAAATTGCATATTGGGCGTTTCAAATGGACAAAATACTCAGATTAAAAATTAATTATTTTTTGTTTAGAAGTTGGGAAGGAGTAGCAAATTCAGCTCCTTACAAGGTTGATTTATTAAACTTAGTTTTGATGGGAGCAGTGTGGGTAACCCAGGCCCCTCAGGCATTGGAGGCATTTTCAGAAATGAAGAGGACCAATTGATTCAGGTGATTCCTTAAGGGTTGAGATACATGTACAAAAGGCAGGGAATATGAATATTAGCAAATTGATTATTTAAGGTGATTCCAAACTGACGGTTGGCTCAGCGTTTTAAAAGTGCAAGGCACAAAACAAGTGCAAGGGGCAATTTGCACCCGAGGCACAAGGCGAAGTGCACACCTTTCCAGAGAAAGGCGTGAAAATACAAAAAATGCCAATTTTTTTCAAAAATGCAAAAAATTAAAAAAATAGTAAACATAATATTAAATAAAAATATAAACTTATATTTTAAAACAAATGTTTTTAAAAACCTATTATCTAAAATTAAATACATAAACATAACATGTAAAACATATTCAAATGAAACTTTAAAAATAAAATTAAACATATAAATCATATTCAAGCATGTAAAACCCTCAATCTCTTTTGTAAATTATAATTTACAAAAAAGTCCTATTGGCCTACATATCCAAGAAACCCTACAAACTGCCTTTGTAAGCCCCTCAAGGCAAGCCCAAACAAGTCCATGTTAGGGTTTCCCAGGCGTATTAAACCCTAACATGGACTTGTTTGCACTTGCCGCAAGGGGCTTAGCCGGGGGTCTGGGCACAGAGCAGCTGGCCCAGATGCTAGGTTCAAAAAAGAACAAAAAGCACAAAAGATTAAAAAAGAAAGACAAACGCCTGGGCTGAAGTGCAAGGCACACTAGGCGTACACCTTTTAAAGTGCTGCACCTGAGTCCTATGCATCACCTGTGCACCTAGGTGCACTTTAGGTGTCTCTTTTAATCACTGGGTGGGCTGGTTGCAGGTGGAAAATAGTTTCTGGAGATACCGCAATGAAAGAAAGAAGTTCAAGAAATTAAGGCAGGGTATCAAAGTAAGGCCGCATTGGATTAAAAGATGTGCTAATTCCTTTGCTGATGTTCTAGCAAAATAAGGAGCAGGGGATAATCTTTTTTGGGCTCAGCTGTAATATGTAAGAATTGTTGGGAGGGAGAGGGGGGAAGTTAAGAGAGCTTACCCCCTCCTAATTCTGTTCATTTGTACTCTTCATTAATTCTTATTGAAATTCACAGTTATTGATAAAAAAATTATGTTTCGAAAATTGGGTCAGGACATCTTTACGAGGGGTATTAACCTTTAAAAGAGACCAGGTGTTAGCGTTTTGGGGACTCCACAATGCAATATGACACATCCAATACGGGGTGTATCATATCAATACCTTGAACCTTGGATTCAACTCATTATGCTCTACATTTTACAATACAATTACAATTTTTCAGATCTTTCTTGGAGGTTTATGGATGCTCAAAGAACAATTGTAAAAGAAAATTATGACACCGATATGAAAATGATGGAAATCTGTGATAAACATTAAAAAGAAAAATAGAATAAACATCAATACACACAAAGTACTCATTATACAGCCAAAATGTTTAAAATAAGAAACATTGAAATATAGGCAGTGGTGTATGACGATGCACATGTCTGCTATTCTTGACATCAGCCTGTAATGCATCCACAAGTAAATACAGCAAACATTTCCTGTCATTTGACGATTTCTAAAATCTTTATATTAGTCTATTAGATTTCCTAGGTTTTAGAGAGCATGTATCCTTTTATTATTTTTGAAACAAAGACCATTCTTTCCCTAGTTTGTATTTAATTTTAAAAAATAGAAAAAATCATGTATTTTTTAGGCTATCACTATTCCAGTGGAATCAATCTGGTGTCAGTGAAATTTTAAAACCATGCTTCTTAATAAATCATACCATAAAAACAGAAAACCTGGCAGTTAAACCATTCATGCAAGATTCTCAAATTAACTTTAATACCAGACTAATTTTAAAATTCACAGGATGAAAGTATAAAACCATGAATTGGTGTAAACAATAAAAAACTACATTACCTGATAATTGACTTTGAAGCGTCCAAGAAGACGACAATATTCATGGTAGTTATCATGATCAGCAAGACCTAATTCCCACCCAAATACATAATAACCACACAGAGGTACTTCAAACATAGAAAAGAAAAAAAGGACAAATAGATAAAGTAAAGTACTTAAAGAAACAGCAGAAAATTGTTTACAACATATAATATTTTCAGTTTGAAAAACATGCAATAATATTGCATGAGAACAATCAAATAAAGTGTGTTATCAAATAGAGTAAGATTTCTGAGAGGATAAATATTTTTGCACTGTTCTAAATTAAATTTCAGAACTACATTTATGCTTTAACATGACTACAATGAAGGATTAAAAATTCTGAGAGGAACATATTTTTTGAACAGTTCCAAATGAAATTTCAGAACTAGATGTACATTGCTACACAACTATAATCAAGGATTAGAAATATTGCTACAAGTATGCTTTTTTTTCTTTTCTTTTTTTTAATTTCTTTTGAAGAGCTACACAACGGGGGGTAGCCCATCCCCCAACCCAGGTGCAGGCAGGATTCGGTCCCAAGTCTCCACTACGACCAGCAGGAGACCTTACCAACCCACTGGTTGGCACCTTGCTATGTTTTTTTTTTTTTTCCTTATTGATAACTACAACAGTATCATACTAGCAATATAATGAAACTAAAAATATCTACAATGTATACTATCATGTCATTTTTAAGATGCATACATTGATAAGCATGGATATGCAAGAAAACTAGAAATGCCAAGGAAAGTGCGCTGAAAGCAGAATTCTTATAGCAAGAGGCACAATGCTTTTACTAAACAAGTGAACAGTCATAATTGTTGAGATATTGGGCCAAGAGGAACATTAGTATTTATTTCTTGTTGTAGACTTTTGTTGTCAAGGGCCTAAAGCCGTTGATTATTTATTCTTTATGCCATCATTATTTTATGATGGGTCGAATATATCATAGATAAGGGATGGGACAGAGCTACCATTATTGCTTCACAAATTATTGCTGTTTATTGACAATTTTCCAGATATACATGGATTTGTCTGATGCTTTCTCATGATGAAGTTCCAAAGTTGATCAGACAATTTCATAACCTTGTACTTACTCAGTTTAATACCCACATTAAAATATCCAGGTCTAATAGTGAAAAGGAGTATTTTGAGCAGGGCCTCTCTACCCATCTTAAAAACTTTGGGGTTATTCATCAGACTTCTTGTTTCTACACCTCAACAAAATGGGGTGGCTATGAGAATGTTGCTCTCAAGGATTTATTCCCCTCTTTGTATTCCATCTCTTCTTTTTTAAAGAAAAGCAGCCAATGTGAAGTTTGTTTCATCTTTTTCTCTTTCTACTGGTTCTTGGGATTAGGGTTTTAGAAGGGGGTTAAGAGAGCAAGAATTTGATTCCATATCAAATTTATTGCAAGTGCTTGATAAAGCTTTGGTTGGACCACTCCAGTTCAAACAAACATATTTGGTCTCCTCATCCCCATGGATCTTTCATGTGTGCTTCTATCTTCCCCCTAAAGTTAGTGCATTTTGTTGGGAAGTGTTTTATGGGAAGATCAATACTCTTGATTCCCTTAGAGACCCTACTTTGATTGACTTGAAACCAGTCTATTCTCTGTAAAGTTGTTTTACAGGGAAAGTTGTTATCACTTATTAATCTCCTGTTCATTTTAGTGTTTTAAAAGTGCAAGGCGCAAGGCGAGGTGCACGCCTTTTTGAGGCAAGGCTCACAATTTAAAAAAAAAAAAAAAGCTAAAAATTCAAAACAAATCAAAAAAAAATGCAAAAATTTCAAAAAAATCAAAAAACCTTTTATCTAAAATTAAAATACATAAATTGTGTGCAGTTAGGGAAGCTAGGAAACTGGAGAAGTTGATGAGAGATTTCTTATGGGAGCCGAGACAAGAAAAAAAGGATCACTTGGTTAATTGGGAAATTGTGTGCAAAAGTAAAGAAGAGGGGGGTTTAGGACTTGGGAGGGTAACTAGAAAAAATCAAACTCTGTTAGGGAAATGGTTATGGCGATGGCCATTGGAAAGAGAGAGATTATGGCATGAGGTGGTGGGAAGCATTCATGGGAGGTCAGAGAATGGATGGGATGCTGGTGTATCGAGGTAAGCTAACCTAGCAGCACCTTGGAAGGCTATTCACAACACCCTTCCTCAATTCCTCAATTTTACCAGGTATGAAGTTTGTTTTGGCAACTCTGTCCTTTTTTGGGAGGATATTTGGGTAGGAGACACACCGTTAAAGGATTTGTTCCCTTCGCT